GCTCTTCTCTTCGATTGCGATGGCGTGCTTGTCGATACAGAGAAGGATGGCCACCGCGTTTCTTATAATGAAACTTTCAAAGAGGTAACATTCCCCTGCTCTCCTCTGGTTTCTCTGTTTTTCTTCAATCTGCGTGTGGTTTGATGAAATGGGTTCTCTTGCTTTTGGGGAATTGCTATGGATGTTTTTCTCGGTAAGATCATAAATAGGTGACATTTTTAGAGGAGCTGGGGAGAAATTAGCTATAAATTTGATGGAAATTATTGGCAGACCTCAATCTCAATTACTTTCATGGGTTAGTGACATGACATGATTGATTGCACAGAAAGAATTGAGTGTTACTTGGGATGTAGATTTGTACGCAGAGTTGCTCAAGATTGGAGGTGGAAAAGAAAGGTAAAGTCTCTCCCAAAATACTCTATAGCTAGCTTACATTGGACTTACATGGTTCCTGCTTCCTGGGGTGCTTAATTTTGGTTCTTTTTATTTATACCCTGAATTATTTGGTTAACATTTAATTTATTGCAGATTTTTTATTTCTATTTGTACTCAAATGGTTCTGGTCTTCGTAGGATGACAGCCTATTTTAACAAGATGGGTTGGCCCAAAAATGCTCCGAAGAGTGAAGAAGAAAGAAAAGCATTTGTAGCTTCACTTCACAAGAGAAAGACAGAGTTGTTTGCGGCCCTTATTGAGAAAAGGCTGCTGCCGCTTCGGCCAGGAGTTGTAAAGTTGGTTACCATCTGATCTTCTGTTTTTGCATGAAAAATTTATTATTTGTGTTATATTTCTCTTGCATTTTGTGGTTCTAGGTATGTTGGGTTGGTGAGTTTCTCTTATCAACTTGTACAGGCTGATAGATCAGGCTCTAGCAGAAGGAGTTAAAGTTGCTGTGTGCAGCACTTCCGTTGAGAAGGCGGTATGCTAAATCAGGTTCCACAACTTAATTGTTTGCATATAATTAGTTTTTCTGTGATTCTTCAAGAACTATAATAATCAAAACCTAACTCTTACATATTTTCAAAAGCTATTTTGGATCTGGATCAGATTGACATTGCTCATTATTAATCAAATGCACTGAAAATTGAAACTATGGATCTCATTTTATCCTTGATGCATCTTCTTTATCAGCGTTGCACTTTATTTTGAACATAAAATTAAAGACAAGTGATCATAATCTATTTCTCTGTGGTTAATTTAGCTTCTTTGTGAAATAAATATACTGATTCATAGATTGCCCTCCCATTTTGACGTTAGAATCGTTTTCGGATTTTAAGGTCTCTGCAATAGTTACATTCTTGCTGGGACCAGAACGGGCAGAAAAAATCAAGATATTTGCAGGTGATGTGGTTGCCCGCAAGAAGCCTGATCCAGTAAACTTTAATCCCTCTACATTTTGATTTAATGATGTCTGGTTACTTTGTGTTCACTCAGCCGCAGGCTCTCAGAAACATTTAGAAACTAAACTATGTTCATTCTTCTTGACAGGCCATCTACGAATTGGCGGCTAATACTCTTGGTGTTGATCCTTCAAGGTATTGCAGGGTGCTAGCCCAAATTTCTGATGCTACAATACAACATGTACAACCAACACAATGAGGTTTTATTTGAATCTACTTTCGCAACGAATTTGAGGGATCTATGTGCTTTCTCCACCTCAGTTTGCTAAGATATCCAACTTCCATGCTTAACCTTTTTGTTCATGAAAACTGATTTGATTTTCCTGTTCTACAGTTGTGTTGTGATAGAGGACAGCGGCATAGGCCTTGCAGCTGCCAAAGCCGCTGGAATGAAGTGTATAGTAACTAAGAGCGGGTACTTCCACCTTCTTGACATTCCAGATTATATTTCAAACTTATAAGATGGCTTATTTGACAATTTGGAAGGAGTTGAGTAATCTTTAGTAGTCAAATGCTTAATATGTTCACTTCATCTTTAACTCTGGTTGCAGATACACAGCCAATCAAGAATTTCCGAATGCAGATGCAGTCTTCGACTTCATTGGAGATCCCCCGGAGGAGCGATTCGACTTGGCATTCTGCGGAAGCCTTCTCAAGCAGTGAGCTAGCTCAGTTTTCAGTAATTATCTGTTCCATCTAAAATTCGTTGGATAGTGATTAGGGTTTCAGCAAAGATAATAAAAAAAATGCCAGTGCATTTTGTAGTAGTCTTGATGTATATTAAAGTGCAAATTAGCAATTCTCAAGCAGACAAAGTTTTCATTTGTGAATCTCTGGATGAAGTATTATAAGGAGCTTCCATTGCTAAGGCAAGCTTTTGGAATGATCTTAAGCTATGAATTCTTTCATTTGGATCTAGTCCAAGGTTAATTTCTATATTTATCAGTACAGGTTAATATATGTTGAAGTAAACGTTAAACAATTCTGATGAATTATTCACAATAGATTTTAGTTACACGTAGTTTCTAGGTCCATCCGAACAAAATTTTGTGTATTGCAATGACATCTGGGTCAAAGCTAGTGAACTCAGGCTAGTTGAACTTGAGTGGCTCTTTCTTGCTGCCCTCCCCTGAAATTTCTCCATTTTCTAAAGAAGATGAAAGAGTGGGTTTTTTTGGCAGACCCATCTTTCTCTGCTGGTTGAAAGAAACGTTTCATCGTCTCCCAGGCTCTGAGCTCCAACAGTGTTCGTTCCCTACTGGTACAAAGTCCTCGTCCTTCCCTTATATCTTTGGCCCTGGTTTCTGGTAAGGGGATGAACCGGTGAACCGAGACAAACTGAGTCGAAGCAAAAGAGAAAAATACCGTGTTGCTCAATAAAGTTAACATAGGCTCAAAAATCAAATCGGACCACTTTGGATCGATTCCTGTCCCAGTTCTTGTCTTGGAAAAACTGGTATTAACCGACTAGTTATGTTTTTTTTTTATAATGAAATTAACCGACTAGTTATGTTATGTTTACTTATTCCTTCCTTTATATCCAAAATTATTAGTAGGTCTAATTAATATTCAAGTAACATTAGTAACTCCAAGTAATATATAGATATTTTAGCCCAATTAATACCCAAATGCCTTAGTTCCAATTTATACCCAACTAAATAACAACTCTAGTCCTTTTTCTTTTTGGGCGAACTATATTCGTTCTTGTTGTGTTTCCGTCTTTCTCTCTTTTCCCCCTATTTCTTTATATTTCTCTTCCTACTTATCTCTTCACCTCTTTCTCTCTTATTTTATCCATTGTACATATTTTTCTCTTCTT